CCCCATGGCTTGCTCAGTGTGATTCTGGGGCTTTCAGAGTTCATTCACTCCAGATTCTGTAATGAGTTAGGAGGAGGAGCACAAATCCAAGATCAGGCTGTTGACTCCGCAGAACAAGTTGACCACCGCCACATCCCGTCCTGCTGTCTGTCCCTGGAGCAGCCAGCAATTCCCTCAAGGTCTTTAGGACAGGTTGCTATGTCCAGAGTAGACCTTTTGTGCAGTAGATTTTGAACCCTAAGTCAATAGCACCCTGCAGATGGATCTTTCTGCAGCAAATTAATATGAGATTGGGAGACTGAGAATATAAACATGACAACTTATTAATTTAAAATGTGCATACAGCTGCCATGGGGACCACAATGTTCACCTTGGCGTGAGCAATGCTTTTTCCCTGTAGGCAGGATTGTGCGGGAAAGCAAATTGCTATCGCCAGGTTGCTTGGTGAGTGTGGAATGGAGCAGGGGGAATTAGTGCTGTTAACTTGATGGTGGAAAGGCCTCGTTACCAGGAACTGCCTTGGCACCCAGGGCCATTGGTCTGCACTGCATTGTAAGCCTTCCTGGTGGAACTGCACCGTAGTCGGGAAGGGCTCTTCTCACACAGAGGCTTAACCTGCTTTTCCAACCTGAGCTTGGTTAGCGCCACCGTCTCAAGGTGTCTGAAATCCCTTCTTGTTTTCCCTGTGCAAACTGGCATTTCGTGACTTTGCTATTTCTACCATTGGAAAACTTATTTCCCATGACAAAATGAAAAACTTAAATTTGGAAGGTAGAAACAGGTTATAATTTTCACTTTTTAAAAAAGTGTTGCTTTCATTTGAAAGGAATAGATGTGGAAAGGCTTAGTTATTACTTCTATTACCCTTCTTTTTTCTCTTTTTCATGCTTCCTCCATAAACCCATAACATAACTACAATACTTCTACAGAAAGAAATTACCATGCTGCCTGCTTGCATGAGGTGATGCAAGGGCAAGGGAAGACCTACATGGAAGCTTTTCTTTTTTCCATTTCCTCAACTTGAGACTGATTTTAGAACCTACTCATAAAAACATTGTATCTCAGAATTACCAATGGTGGATTTCAAAATTGTAATTTTCTTCTTCTGGAACTAGATTCAACTTCTTAAAGATTTATGTATTTTTATTGACCTCCCATCCACTGGTTCACTCCCCAAGTGGCCGAAGTGGCTGGGGCTGAGCTGATTTGAAGCCTGGAGCCTCTCTGGGTCTCCCACATGGGTGCAGGGTTTTAAGGCTTTGGGTCATCCTCGATTGCTTTCCCAGGCCACAAGCAGGGAGCTGGAAGAGAAGTAGAGCAGCTGGGATATGAATTGGTGCCCATATGGGATGATGGTGCATGCAAAGTGAAGATTTAGCCACTAGGCTACCATGCCAGGCCTGATTTTACTTTTTTTTTTTTCTTTCTCATCAATTGCTTCTGCTTACTCAGTTTTCTTAGGCCTTCACTGGTCCAAAAGTTCACCAAAAGATGATCTTCTCTTCATTTTTAGATCCTTCAGAGATGGTGTAAGTGTCAGCTGGGTACTAAGTGAGTGAATGAACGCACAGGATGAAATGCATGTATGAGAATGTTCCTTCCTCAAAGTTAAACCCGAAACTGCCACATTGGAGTGACGCCCCCATGAAATAGGCCTGGCTTGTCACTGCTGCAATGAAAAGATTGAACTGGGGGGAGCATGCCAACTCTGATTTTGTTGTTGCTGTAACTTTACATATTGGAGAATAAAAGAACTTGAATTAGAGCATTAAAAAATAACTTCTGGAAATCTTTCAGGAATATTATTGAATCATGCAGCCATGAGCATTCTGGATTAAGTATGATGTGAAGAAGGCATGTTGGGAACAGTGTTGTAGCACAGCTGTGCTGAAATGTCATTTGCAATGCCAGAATTTCAAATTAGTGTGATATTTGAGTCTCGGCTACTGTTCTTCTGATCCTAGGTTCCTGGTAATGTACATGGGAAAGGAGTGGACTATGACCCAAGTACTTGGACCCTGCCATCCATATGGGAGACCTGGGTGGTCTCTTTGCTTCTGTCTCCTGGATTCTGGCTTCTTCATGGTCCACACCTCCCTGTTACATCCATATGCGCAGTGAACCAGCAGATGGAAGTTCTGTTTCTTCTTCTCTTTCCCCGACGCTTTTTTCAAATTGGTGAATAAATGAAAAAATGAACACTATGGAAATGGCTAAAATTAAGTTGATTTAGTCAATATTTCTTTAAGATATATATATATATTTAAATATATTTTTCTTTTGAATTTTGCATTGTGAGGTACAATTTTGTGCAGACTGGAATTCCCTGCCTAACTCCCACCTCCTGTAATATATATTTTTCAATAGAAAGGCAAGTTTACAGGGAAGGTGATAAAGATCTTCCATCTGCTGGTTGACTCTCCAAGTGGCTGCAACAGCCAGAATTCAGCCTATCCAAAGTCAGGAGGAGCTTCTTTTGAACCTCCCATGCGGGTGCAGGGTCCCAAGGCTTTGGGCCATCCTCTATTGCTTTCCCAACCTCCATGCAGGGACCTGGAAAGGAAGTGGAGTAGCTGGGCCACAAACTGGCACCCATATGGTACCCCAGCATGTACAAGGTGAGAATTTAGTCCCTGAGCTATTACCTTTAGCCCTCAGTATTTCAAAGTATAAGGTTTAATAGCTATTTTTGAAGGTTGTTTGAGAAATGAACAGTGACAACAGTCATATGACTTAAAAGTAATTTAAAAAATATGTTGCTTTATATTTGATTGTTCACTTAATATGTTAAAAGCTACTGCTGGGAGTAAGACCTAAAATAAGATTTGGCTACTTTCCCATCATACAAATCCATTGTGTTTCCTCTTGCAAACCAACCTAGCAAACCTATAGGAAAGAAAGGAGAAGCTGCCTTGGGCCAGTACTCCTGCCACCTTTGAGATGTATTTTTCCTCCATGTCTTTTTGTTGCACCTCATCAGGTTGTAAGGACCTTTTTAGGCCATCTTGCTAAGAAAATTTGTTCTTCCTTCTCTCTGCACCAGGGACGCCAAGCCCATGAACACAGACTGTACTGACTTAGTCCCCAGGGAGCGTCTGCAAGCCCTAACAAGGTCTGCATCCCTGGCTTGCCAGATGGGGCCACCACAAACAGATGTCATTATTAGATATTGGAAATTCAACCACAGATCAGACAGCTGAGATGCTTGACCTACTGGACCAGTGTCATAGAAAATGCATTTTGGAGTGACAGGAGTCAACAGTAGGCAGTGCAGAGTTCTGTGGGAGCATTTTGGAGGTCTTCTTGATTATGACTTATGGGGTGGGTTATAGAAGTCCCCTAGCAGAACTTGTATTGGAAAGATGGGTAGGAGTTATCTGATAAGGGAGAATAGGTGAGGTTATGTAGCTTGTGAAAGAGGGAAGTGCATATGTCAATTCCTCCAGATGGAAAGAAATTATGTTGGGGATTTCTGGAGTGTAGACAGACATGAGGAGGGACAGGAAAGCATTGAGTCAGATGAGAAACCAGGCTAGAATGATAAGCATGAACAAGGCAACAGAAGGTCCTAGGAGTCATGTTAGAAGTTGGTCTTTTTTTTCTAAGGCCAATTGGAGGCTCCTGGAAAGATTTTTACCATGTGGATAACATGGTATCCTTGTCCTTTTGTGAGAGTAATCTTGGGAACCAGCGTTATGGTGTAGTGGGTGAAACCACCACTTCTGATGCTCATGTCCATTATTAGACTACCAGTTCAAGTCCAGGTTGCCCTGCTTCAAATTCAGCTCCCTGATAATGTGCCTGGGAAAACAGAAGATAGATCAAATATTTGGACTTGTGCTACCCATTTGGGAGACATGGATAGAGTTACAGGCTGCTGGCTTTGACCTGCATCTGCTGTTGTGGCCACTTGGGGAACGAATCAGTGGATGAAAGCGCTCTCTTTCTCCCTCTTTGCTGTGTATATGTGTGCTTGACTGTCTATCTCTGTCCCTCTGCTTTTCAAATACATACAAACATGTTGGAAAATAATAGCTTTGGCTTTGGTGTGGGCCCTGGTTTGTTGGTGGCCAGGGCTGCAGCAAGGGAGACGAGTTAGGTGGAGAGCAATCCCTGGTTAGCAGGCATGTCCGAAGAAGGCAATCGCTGCTTAAGCTGAGTGCAGTCCTGAGGAGTGGGCAGGAGGGATGGTGTTGGGCAGCTTTGGTTGTAGCTGGTAAAAGGTGTGGAGGAAGAAGCCAAGTGATGGACATTTTCTGCAACCTCCCTTCTAGTGATTTTAAGGTTGTAAGCACTACCCTTCCTCTTTTGTGGTCTCTGTATTACTGGCCAACTTCTTCATGAGCCTTTGCGGCATCCTGCCACAGTGCTTCTTGGAGCAGGAAGCAAGCAAGCTGTTTCTCTTTCCAACTGAAATAGCTCGCGTTCGGGACCTCTGCCTACTTGGGTTTGTGTTTGCAAAGGTGTTGTGTATATTTCTGTGACTGATTAGGTTCTGAAGGTTTGAAATAATTTGCCTCTTTATCCATTGTAAATATTTTCAGTTTGCTTTGAGGGGAAAATGAAGGAGAGGGAGAGAAAGAAAGAAATCTTTGCTGAAATCTTTGATTTCCCAAATTGTTTCCAGGCCTGGGCCAGGCTGAAGCTGGGAGTCTGGAACCTGGTTTGAATGTGCAGCAACCCAGTACCTGAGCCACTCCCTGCTGCCTGCTAGGGTGGAGCCACGAATGAAACCAGACACGTGGATATGGGATGCTCATATCCCTAGTGGCATCATTAGCCACTGAGTTAGCTGCACCTCTAAATTCTTCTGTGGGATTTACGTTATGACCGTATGAGGGTTATTTCTGTATAGAATTACTTGTCAGAATCACAACAAATTGTTGTTCCCTACTGTCAGTAATTTTTTGCCATCTAGATTTGTCTGGGAGGAAAGGATGGAAATGTATGGTTACTGAACATATTTGAAATATTAATGTTGTACTTCTGTTTTGTTATAGGTCAGTTGTTGAGATCTGGTGAAGATCAGCTGTTCAATAATGTTCTGCAGTAAAAAGAAATTGCTTGGTAAGTAGTGAGTTCTTTAGGTGACTCGAAGCCAGTTAAATTTTAAATATTTCAATTGAGATTTAATTTACATGCAAAAATCCAAGAATCTTAATTGTTCTGCTCACTGAATACTGAGAATTAATTATACCTGTATCACTAGTAAGTGTGTAAAGAGCAAGACACAAAAGTGTGTAAAGAGCAAGAACAAAAAATTTTAAAAATAACTTATTTATGTAAAGTGAACAAAATTTCATATACTTCTCAATACGGATTTAGGAGTGTAACCACTTTCTAGCCCACCTTCTGTCCTGCCTGTATTCCCAATGTACTCTCCTCTTTCCTTCCTTATTTTTCTTTTTAGATTTTTATAATGACATACTTTGATTTCACTTTGCAGTCACAAGTTTAGCATTGCATTAGGAAAAGGTTTCAACACAAAGCAAGTAGAAACAATCCCTTGCTATTCCTCAAGAGTGTAGACAAAGTCAATCAATAATCAGATCTCAAATGTCAATCTCACTCCTGTTACTTTTTTAATACTCTGTGCATTGGTGACCACAGAACAGGAAAAACATTTGCTCTTTTTTTGGGGGGGGGGACTAGAATATTTGACTAAGTGTAATCATTTTCAGTTATCCATCTTATTGCAAAAGACGAGAGTTCATTCTATTTGATGGCTGAGTAGTATTGCATAATATATATGTACCATATTTTCTTTGTCTAGCCATCTGTTGATGGACAACTGGGTTGATTCCGGATCTTAGCTATTGTAAATTGGTGGTACACATAACTCTCAAATACTGATTTCATTTCATTTACATAGATTCCTAGGAGTGGGATGGCTGGGTCGTATGGTAGACCAAGTTTCAAATATCTGAGGAATCTCAGTACTGTTTTCCATAATGGTTGTACTAGTTTGCGTTCCCACCAACAGTGAATTAGGGTATCTTTTCCCTACATCCTCATTAACCTTTATTTTCTTATTTTTTGGGTGATAACCCTTCTCACTGGGATGGGGTGAAACCTCCTTGTGTTTTTTATTCGCATTTCACTAATGGCCTTTACCCTGAGCATCTTGTCATGTGTCTATTTGCCACTTGTATTTCATCCTTTGAAACGTTCTTTTCCTGTTGCTTAACTGAATCGTTTTCTGGTTGTTGAGTTTATTGAGCTCTTTATAGCCCATAAATTTCAATCCCCTGTCAGTTTCTTATTTACCAATATTTTATCCGAGTCTGTTGGCTGCCTCTTCACTTGGTTAACAGTTTCCTTTGCAGTGTAGAAGTTTCTTCTCTTGATGTAATATCATTTGTCTATTTCTTTTATTGCTTTGACTACCTGTGCTTCTGTTTTTTTCCCCCCAAGAAGTCTTTGCCTATGTCTTAGAGTGTCCCTGATGCTTTCCTCTAGTGATTGATAGTGTCAACACACAGGACATTTCTTTTGCTCTAAGTTTTCTTGTGCCCCCTTTTATCTGCCTTTTCTGTATTCCCACACTACTCTGATTTCTAGTTTTTGCTTCTTTTTGAAATGAGTATCAATTAGTGTGCATCCTTTTGGCTTGCTTCTTTTCAGCATCAGTTTTGTTTTTTTGACATACTATCGGGTTACAGGTATTCACGGAGTGTTTTTATTTCAAAGTTGTGTTCTATTGTGTGAATACACCAATGTTTAAAACCGAGTTCATGTAGTCAGAAATAATATCATTCATGAGAGCAGGAAGCGTGTTGTTTTTGTGGTGGGATAATAGGTCTACTAAGTTAGGATTGATGTTCTAGTTCTTTAATATGACATCTTGACTAGGGACAATTGGCCTCCTCTTTTTACCTCTAGGTAGTGACAGAATATAACTTAGGTACATATCCACTGCAGGAAAAGCTAACATATTACTGTCACTTATTTTTGAGTACAGACTCTTTAGAGACTAAAGGCTAAATTACTTTGTCTAACATAATAACATCTATGGCAGATGGTTAACTTCCTCCATAGACAATTATTTCATGGTGTAGTGCATAAGGCATTTGTTGCAGTGTTCAGCCTCATAGACTAAACACAGTCTCGCTGTAGTTCCCACATACAGGGATTATTTTGGCCCTCTGGAGGAATACTTTCATAATTCTGACACCAATCTGATGAATTATTGTCGTCATTTAGTTTTTTTAATTGATTTATTTACTTGAATGACACAAGCAATCTCACACACATACATAGACAGTGTCTTTGCTTGCCAATTCATTCCCTAAATCTCCAAATGATTGCAGCAGCCTGACTTAGCCAGGAACTCAGTCTTAACTTTCCACATGGATGATGGGAAGTGAAGTACCTGATACAACATCTGCTCCTTCCCAAGTGTATTAGTAGGGAGCTAGATCAGAAACAGGTAACTGGGACTTGAACTCTACTGATGTGAGATGCTGGTGTCTTGAGCAGAGGTTTAAACCTGCTATGTTAGAAAGCCCACCCTCTTTTTTTTTTTTGAAGATTTATTTATTTTAATTTGAAAGGTAGATTTTACAGAGAGAAGGTGAGACAGAGAGGTCTTCATCTGCCACAAAGGCTTGAGGTGATCTGCAGCCAGGAGCCAAGAGCTTATTCTTGGTCTTCCACTTGGATGTAGAGGCCAAGGCCCAAGCCTCTGCTACTTTCACAGGTCACTGACAGACAACTGGATTGGAAGCGGAAGGGCCAGAACACAAACTGGTGATTGCGTACGATGCTGGCACTGCAGGTTGAGTATTAGACTGCTATGCTATCACATTGCGCCCCCTCCCCCCCCCACCGCCTTTAAAGTAAAGTTTATTTATATCATACCATATTGGTATAATCTGAATAGTATAAACACATGATTAACTAGCTTTAACATAGAAAAGTTTATGATAGGATCTAATGTTCTAACTTTTAAATATTTGTGGGACAGAGAAAGAACAAGACAGATCCCACCTGCTGGTTCACTTCCCAAATGCACAGGATAGTCAGGGAATCAAGGGTGAGCAGGAACCCAGTGCACACCTCCCTTGTGGGTGACAGGAACTCCAGGGTGTGTATTGGCAGGGAGCTGGAGTCAGGAGTGGAGGTACGTATTGAATTCAAGTACTACAACATGGACATTAGTTAGTTGACATCTTAACCACTGGGCCAAATGCCTGCTCCTGAACACAATCCAAGATCCAGGTCTCTCTTACAAGTAGATGATATGTACAAACATATCATATATGTATATATGTAGACTTAAAAATTTTTTATTGGAAAGTCAGATTTACAAAGAGACGAGACAGGAAGATATCCCATTGCTGGTTCATTCCCCAAATAGCTGTAACAGCCAAAGCTGAACCAATCTGAAGGCAGGAACCAGGAGCTTCTTCCAGATCTGCCATGTAGGGTTCTGAGGCTTTGGGCCATCCCCTACTACTTTCCCAGGCCACAAGCAGGGAGCTGGATGGGAAGTGGAGCAGCTGGGACACAAACTAGCACCCATATGGGATCCTGGTACTTGCAAGATGAGGATTTAGCCAATCATGCTAGGCCCTGTATATAAATATATACATATATAAACATATATATATTTAACAGTGCCAGCGTGATGGCACAGTGGTTAAGGTCCTCGCCTTGCACGCCCGGGATTCCATATGGGTTCCGGTTCTAATCCTGGCAGCCCCACTTCCCTTCCAGCTCCCTGCCTGTGGCCTGGGAAAGCAGTCGAGGACAGCCCAAAGCCTTGGGACCCTGCACCTATGTGGGAGACCCGGAAGAGGCTCCTGACTTCGGAATGGCTCAGCTCCAGCCATTGCGGCTACCTGGGGAGTGAATCATCGGATGGAAGATCTTCCTCTCTGTCTCTCCTCTCTGTCTCTCCTCTCTGTATATCTGCCTTTCCAATAAAAATAAAATAAATCTTTTAAAAAAATTTAAATTTAAACATTTAAAATTTAGTTTAACATTTGATTTTATTTAATGTTAACATATTTGATATTTAATATTTTAAATACATATTTAATCTGACATTTGAATATGTATTTAAAGATTATTTGAAAAGGAGAGAGAGAAAAACCTTCTATTAGCTTGCTCAATTTCCAGATGGCCACATGGTCAGAGCTTGGCTAAGCTAGAGGAGAAACCAGGAATTTCTTCCAGGTCTCCCATGTGAGTGGCAGGGCTCAAGCACTTGGAAACCTGTGTGCTGCTTTCCCAGGTGCATTAGCAGCAACTGGAACAGAGTGGGGCAGCTAGGACTCAAGGTGGTGCTCGTAGGGAATGTGCACATTAAAGGTTATGGCTTAATCTGCCATGCTTTGTTGAGCAGGCAGTTTTCATAAATAAGAGCAAGAAACAATTGATTTGAGGCTGCTGTGCTATGCAACGTTAGAGGGCTCCAAAGACAATGGCCTACGTCTGTGCATTTGTGTCCATTCCTCTAAATGTATAACCCCAACTAGGATGCTGTTGTGCATTATTTAGAAATCTCTTAACACTGTAATATACATGTCCTTCGCCTTAATTCTATGATGGCTACCATTGTCACATTGGCTTTTTCTCTGTATCCATGCTCCATAGAAACATGCACATGTGTGTATACGAGTATATTTTGTTGAATCCTCTGAAAGTGGTAGACACCATGGTACTTACCCCTAAGTCAGAGATGCATCTATGAAAAAACCATTCTTCTGTATAAGCATAACACCAATATACCAAAAATATGTCACACTGATAAATGATTAACATTCCATTTTTTAGTTTTTACATTTTTTCCATAAATATCTCATCTCACAAATATTTCTGATTTTTTTTTTTTTTTGGGTATAGTATCAAGTCTGTGTTCATACACTGAGTTTGAAGAATCCCTTGGTTTTCTTTTTATTTTAGGATGGTTTGTCATTACACTGAATTTTGGAAAGGTCCAGTCAAACTGATTTACAGAATATTTTATAGTGACTCAATTAGTTTCTCCTAAGTCATTTTGGATTAAACAGTTGTGCACAAATAGTATATAGTGATTTTGTACAAATGGGCAGGTAATGCTT